GGGCTAACTCATCTTCTTCTTTGCTCCATTCTTCCTCAGGCTTCAGACTGATTGTCCCATCTTTCTCAGTTATGGTGGGATGGTTCCATCCTTTGTCAGCAGCTCTCCAAGCCTTTTTGTCCAGTGATTTTAAGAAGGAAATCATACGAGGTTTCCAGTAGTCATAATTTGATCCATCCAGAATGGGTGGTCTGTTTCCAAAAACTCCTTCTTTGTCCATAGTGCCAGAAAGTGATATCCCTAGATCTCACCCAGTAATACAGGCAGGGTGCCTGCTCTGATGCCAATTGAAATTCTGGCAGCAGATACTCAATGTCACAATGAATGTTATGACACCGTATCTGACTTTCTATAAGACAGTAAATAAAAACAGTAAAGAACACAGTCAATTGTTTATCCAGTTCAGTGTGAAACAACACCTACTCTGGGGGCTACCAAGCCAGGGAGGAAATCCACTATAAGAGATATTAATTCAGGAATAAACCAACCAGTTTATCTCCTTCACTTAAGACCTACCCAATGCAACTTCAATCTAAGTTCAACTTAAACCTGAGTTCCTACTCACTCCCCCTCAATCACAGCAGTGATACTTAAACAATTGACTAATGAAATAATGAAGACACTCTTCAGAACATACACTTGATTATGCTTCACAACTTTTAATCAAGTAACACAAACACTCATGCTTCACAGCTTTGAGTGATACATAAACCTAACTTGACTTTGCTTCAAAGCTTTAGTCAAGAGACACAATCACTCTTGCTTCAAAGCTTTGAGTGATACAAAAACCATTACAATCAAAACCTATTCCAAGTCACTTATCACAATGATACTTGCTTGGATTACAACAGTTAAAACTATACAGCTCCTAATTTATCTTCTGTCTAAGAGTTGCTTTCCAATCAGCATTCCTGTTGAATATATATGCAGCTGTTTCTTCAGTTAGGGCTTCCACGAAAAGCTAGGGTTAATTAGGGTTAACCTTAATACTTGGTCACAAGACTTTATCAACTAGATTAGGGTTGAGCTAGGTTAACCTAAAGTCCACGTGAGATTCTGTTCTGGAAAGAATGAACCAACTTCCTGAAAAATCTCAGAATTAACCAAACTGCATAACTGTTAGATCAGTACAGGATGTCTTAACATTTTTTATGACATCAGAATTCCTGTTTACTGATTTTGGTAGAAGGCAATAAATGTGATCATTGCAAAATGCTCAGATACACACTCATAAACAGTAGCTACTGTATGCCATACTTTTTCTGCATAAAGTACCTAATAATCCAGAATGTTATGACATCAGTCATGACATTCACACACCTGGTTTTACCAAAAATACATGCCAATAACTAAACACTTACACCAAGCTTTGTGTTCTTGTTCTTCTCTTCCTCCAAGACTCTCTCTAGTTCTCTCTAAGTGTGTTTTGTGTTATGATACTTCTATCTCTCATAAAACAACAACTAATGCCTTTGTTTGGATTTTGGTCTTAAGACAACATGAAGATACCATACTACCCTCGACTAGTCTTACTAACCAAAATATAATTTAAAAGGCCACTTAATCAAAATAACTCCAAATGATTAAATATCGGTCCGAATAATATTTTACCGAACCAAATGGAATAAAAATTGGACCGAATAAAATAATTACCGGTCCCCCAAAATAAATACTGGACTGAATAAAATAATTACCGGTCCCTCAAAACAAATATCGGACCGAATAAAATAATTACCGGTCCCTCAAAACAAATATCGGATCAAATAAAATAATTACCGGTCCGAATAAAACGTCGCCGAATATATTAACAGATATAACGGTTAATTTAAATATTCTCGTCGCAAAAATAAACGTCAAACGGTAATTAGAAAATATTAATATAATATAATATTAAATAAAACGGGGCGTTACGTCTATCCCCATCTCTCAACTCCCATTTTTTCCACTTACGAGTTGACTTGGTCAGGGCGTTAGAGAAGGTTTTAGAACAAAGTGAGAATTTCAATCTCTTAATGGAGGTACAAGGAAGGTAACCACATCATTTTCCATCTTTGAAAGTGCTTGAAATAAGGTATCCATCTCCACCTACAAGGTAAATTTTTCTCCACTTCGAACTCACTCATTTAGGCATCATTTTGAATCATCTGTGTGTCATTCATACTTGTTTTGATGTGAGGAATAAAAGTCCTAAGGTCTGGGACATTAATTGTTCATGAATGCAAATGTAATTTCATTTTAAAGTTTTAGAGTTCATATGTATTCTCATGATTATGCGTTATACAGTTTGAATTAATAAAAATAAATTCCATATTTTGATTCCTCATGAAATTTACTATGAAAAAATGTACCCACATGCCATGTCTGCTTCAAAAATTCGAAAGCTCCATTGGCCATGGAAGTGAAATTCGTAAGAAAGACGATAAATAGTGCGTGCGCATTTTTTAATTTCAAATGTTGCTTTAATATATATTTTATTAGGTTGGATATTTTAACATCAAACGCAAGCTGACCCAATTGTTGAGTGTGCGCCTGGCAATACAAAGTGGTTGGGTTCGATTCCCTCTTACCCTATACCTTTTTTTTTTTTATTTTTTTTATTTTATACATTGAAAGCCTTGTTTTATATTTTATTAAATGGTTGTGTTTTTTTTTAAACCACATAGTGCATGGCCCAATGACTATTCCTTTGAGTTGGGATCACAAGGTCAGGGGTTCAACACTGCTTGACCACCTTCCTAATTTTTACCACTTACCTTATTTATTTTATTTTATTTTATTTTGTTTAATACATTAATTAAAAACGAAAAAAAATATTTTTCTTTATTTTAATTTGTTTAAGTCTTGATGTTTCTTTCATTAAACTTTTTTTGTGAATATTTTCTTAAATGAATCTCTTAAGACCATGACATTTTAATGTATTTACTTGAGTGTGAGTTTATTTTGAAGTTTTATACCATAATTAAGTGATGTTTAATTCCAGAAACATGATTGATTCAAATGCTTTGTTGCTTCATCTTAATGATTGAGATTTTAGGGCTTTGTGCTTGCCATGTTTAGTTTATCCATGTTATGTCTTGAAACCTTGATGTTAACTTGTTTATTTATCATGTGCACCTAAACCCTAATACTTGTTACTTTGTAACTTTGTCATTGATCTTTGAACTTACATGAATGCTCCATGCTTTGATGTTAATCTTAATGTTTATGTGATGATGGTTGATTTTTATACTTCGTGTATTAGTATTTATGTCTAAATTCAAGGAAAGGGATTGCATTGTTGACTTGATATTCATGTGCATGTATTTTTCTTATGTTCACGTGTTTACCTTTGTATGTTACCTTTGTGAATGTTTGCCTTGTGTTTACCCTTGCACAACTAAACCCTAATCTTGTTTTCAAACTTACACCACTTTCATTAAAATAAAACCTTGACTTTATGTAATTGCATTTTCAAACTTTCTTTCTTTAATAAATGCTTCGATACACTTAAGCATATTAAACAATTTCAAAAGACTAAAAAAGATTCAACGTCACCTAAATCATTTTGCAACTTTGGATTTTCAATTTAAAATCTCTTTTTAAAGAGATTAGACATGAGTCATCTTCATAGTTTATAATTCTTTAATCCTCATATTAATGATTGAAATAAATGTTGATTCTTTCCACTTAAGGGAGCTAGTGGCAAAATCTTTGATCTTATATCTAAGTTAGGAGCCTTTTCCTCATGATGATGTAAGATCCATCTTCTCATACTTGTGGATGATTAGTTGAGTATTTTCCTCAAGATGGTGAAAAGTCTCTTCTCCTAAAATCAATTACAACAAATCTTTTGTTATTTTTATCCTGAACTACGAGGTTTTTATCCTTCATTAGTACGTATGTATGAGACTTCATGTCTTTCCGAACACAAAAATATAATAAAAATATATTTTTTTCTCACCTCCACACTCTTTTTGCAAATAAACCATTTTAACCAAAAAACTGATATTATAAGAGGTTCTTATAGAGTATTATCGATACATAGGATGCTAATACATTCCCTTTGTATAACCAACCCCCACACCTTATACCTCTTCTTACTTGATTTTCTTTTAGTTGTGCTTCTTGCATTGCATGTTTAAATATAAGGTTTTGATCTTTTCCCTTTCTCCGAAAACAATAAAGTCCGGTGGTGACTTCTTAATTTTGTGAGCCAAGTTAGTCAATAGTTTGATCTCTGTTTTTTCATCGCGACATTTAGATATGAAACTATAGGAGTTGCAGAGGTGCACAAATAGAAACAAATACAAAAACTCAATTAACAAAAACCTAACACTAGGAATCTTCAACTCTAGCTCCTGATTTCAAAGGTAGGAATATATTTTCTTAAATAGAAATCCATATGTTGGGCTTTTCTCCAATGGTCAATTGATTTGAGACTAACTATATATTATGCTTATTTGATTTGTTAAACATATCCATTAAGAGATTTAATTTGATCTTCATTCAATTTAAATCTTAATCTAAATTGATTTGGATTTGTACAATCTTTTATCAATTCTTTCTTAACATATCAATGCTAAAAGATACAAATCATAAACAACTAATCTTCATAAAACAGTCAGTTAAAGATCAAAACTCAAAATATTTTGTCCGCTGATTTTACACACAATGTCAAATCACTTTTGCCGGTCTTCCTGTAGAACCAGAATTTTATTCTAAAGACCATAGAATGATTTAAAAAGATGCATGAAGCGCTAAAAATGCATGAAATTCAATTAACTCATTTTTTGAATCCAAAACTAATTGGAAATCGAGTTTTATTGCACTAATTCATGTATAATTGAACGATGATGCAAATGAAAAAAAAGGATAAAATTTAGGATATGACAATCATAACTCCATGTTTTGAGACGCCGACTTCGAAGAAATCATAATATCCTAAAACGTGTTCTAGTGTGAAATGGATCTTAGAATCAGTAGCAAATTCTGGAATCCTATTGCGAGTGGGTATTGTGGTGATGGTAGCGGTGGTGTTAGGTGATGGACGACATTTAGAACGTCCACCTTCGAGACCAAATTATTCGTCGTCAAGGAGAAGGTCGTCGGATTGGAAAGCTGGTGAGAGAGATGGAATAGTTGAGAATAAAATAACTGCCAAAATGAAGCGGAATACAACTATTGTTGTCTCAGCGCAGCGAAGTGTGGATATCGCGGCATTGAATGATGATGGAGGCAGAATGAGGGTTCCATGTAATCTTTTAAGTGAGAGAGAGAGAGAGAGAGAGAGAGAGAGAGAGAGAGAGAGAGAGAGAGAGAGAGAGAGAGAGAGAGAGAGAGAGAGAGAGAGAGAGAGAGAGAGAGAGAGAGAGAGAGAGAGAGAGAGAGAGAGAGAGAGAGATATCAAATGTTGAAAGAAGATGTCAAAAAAAAAAAAAGAGTCATGCCTCGCGTGCCTTTTCATCTTACTTGTATCTTTCTATCTCCCAATAGATTGAGTAGTGAAATAAGACAATGTATTTGAAAAATGATAATATGTATAAATAAATTTTGAAGAGAGACCGTAAAATACAATCATGAAAATGTTTAAAAATAAAAAAAAGAAGTTTATATTAATTATCTTAAATGTATTTTGTCAAATTTAAATCTTGCAATTAATTAATTTGAACTAAATGTAAAAAAGGATGTTAATGATATTTTGGTAGTATATACTTTTATAAATAGATAAGATAGATTCATGTTCATGTGTCAATACGGTATCCATTTTTATGAAAATAACTAATAAGCTATTTATTTGATTAACTTATTCTAGAAATAATTTCTACGTTTGTATTAAAATATGTATTATTAATTTTCCTTTTAATTTAGAACAATAACACTTGTTTTATATTTTTTTTACAGGAATTAAAGCCCGTTTTTTTCTTTCATTAATTCAATTATTAATGAATTTTAATAGTTGAACCTTTACTTATAAAAATTGATATGTATATTGCTTGTGATGATTTATTAACAATATGGGAGCAGAATAAGTTTTTGTTCAATTTCTTACTATCATTGTTGAATGAATTAATGATAGAATTGAGGTGGGTGTATTTAGAAAAGTCCAATTTTCAATTCTCGTAAGTAAAGTCCAACAATAAATAAAAAATCCATCATTTCGATCTCTTATTTTCGTACCTCTGCCGGCACCCTAACCACCCACGACCAAGACAACCACACCGTCCCGATTGTTTCCACCTTTCGCGCTACTGCCGGCCCACCGCGCAGTTACCACCACCGGTTGAATCATCTGCTGCGAACATCTCTCAAGAGTAAGCTTTTCATCTTATGTTCATTTTTTTTCACTTCCTCTCTATCTCCCAGCGCGCGAGGATGCAATTCCGGCGTGATTTGTGGCCTCTACAAAAGGCATCTCACAAGGGAATTGCTTCGCATAGTACGCTGCGCCGCAATTCTGCGCTAAAATTTTGCTATTCATAACATATGTTTGTTCTTTTTCTGTTGAATCATCAGTTGAGCAATAAAATCACTGTTTTTTTCTCTTTATTTCCATACTTTGTTAGTTTGTTCATGGTGTTTCCTTTGATTCTTCTTATACTGTCTTTAAATTGCCACAAACGTGTACCTCCTTTGTTAAATTAATTGATTTTTTTTCCTTTTTTTTCCTTTTTTTTACACATGAGAAGAGCTTTATGGAGCAGGGAGATATACCTGAGGATGCTAACGAGCGTATGGATATATTTATTATTATGTGTTGGAATTTTTCTTTGCTTATGTATATTGTAATGAATATGATTCTTGTGGCATTTACAGATTGCCCAGGTCCTCAGTCTGATTCTGCTGGAAAATCTGATGCATGTGAAGGATGCCCAAATCAGGAGATTTGTGCCACTGCCCCTAAAGGACCCGACCCTGGTACTCTCTTCTTTTATCTTACGCTATTACATTTTTGACCAATTAACAGTTCCATTAAGCCCTTAACTGCCTATCATTTTAGTGAAGTATAACATGAGATATAATGAAGTCAAACTGTTTTCATAAAGAGTTTATGAAAATAAGTTGAAAACAACTTGTAGAGGTGTTATAAATTGTTCCCATAAGCTCTCTCAAATACTCTCACTTGTCGTAAGATAAAACTATCTCAGCGTGTGCTTGATGATAAAAAAGCACAGCTGGAAGTTTTTCGTCCTTTTCATATTTTTCCAAAGCCGCTGTAACTGTGTCTACCTGCAGAGCTGTGTACTGATTACCGTCGTCACCCGTTTCATCCTTGACCACTTCACTCATCAGCTCAAAGTGAGCTTGAGCGGCTTCGTCATGGTTTAAGTATTCCAGATTCTCCCTATCTGGCATTTTGTATATCATATCACTAAAGGCGCTTGTCAAGTACTAGAGCCTAGAGAATAAGTCTCCCTCTGATTGCTCTATGCAATCACGACCTATTTGGCAATCCAGCCCCAGTTTATTGGTTCGCTGCAACGCAACTGCAGTTTCCCCTGTTACGTCCATCTCAACATTCAACAAGCTTATCCGTCAATTGCTTCACTTGAAGTTCTTCACGCTTACGTGTCTTTTCATCAGATAATTATACCACAGTATATCAGGAAGATATCTGAAGCCAACTCTAGACAACCCATCTTGACCTAATAAAGTTTTTGCTAACCAGAACATCTGAGAGCTGTAGCTTTCATATACCTCACCTTTCTCTTTCAACTTAAGCCCCGCCTGTTCTGCCAATAGTCGTTCATAGCAACCCTCATCTTCTAACGCGGCAAATATTATAAATTGAACCACAAACCTCTTTGCTTCTGATATGCTTTCTCGAATGCTAGCCAAAGTCGACCCTGTCAACACAACCCTGGTGGAATGTCTTATCATCAGTTGCGTTGACAAAGCTTTCCTCAGATTAGTTAATCTAGAAAATAAGTGCTCTGTACATGCTCACCAAACGTCATTCGCCTCTTCATCATCTTTGTTGACAGGCCGTATCCCGTTCAAAACCAAAATAGGAACCAGAGTGGCTATGTTAGCTGATCTGTAGTCCCTAGTGCTGTCCATACCGTTCAACAAAGCAGCTTCCAACTTTCCTGCCCATGCCACATCTTGCAAGGCCATTATTTCTTCATCAGGCAGATATTCGACCCCTATAGATCTGCTGCCTGCGCTGAACAGACAACATTTTAGCCGTAGTTAAGCCAACTTCACCAAATACGTCCATTTCTACAGTAGTAAACTCACCAGCACATCCTCTAATAGGCATCAGTTTAAGAATATACCTGCAGAAGAAGCCTTCTACTTCACAGTTGAAGCTGAAGGTTTTGACTCCAGCAGCCGCTAGTGGCAATTTCGTATAACCTACCACATTATGATGAAAGGGAGTTGTAGTTAGAGTATGCTTCTGGCTTAAAAATTCATGCTGTTGAGCTAAAAATGTTAGATTGCTTTCTAAGACTAACCCGTAGATAGCTCCCAGGTAACCAAGATACTCCCCCATGCTAAAAATCTCTACCATAGTATTGTGCGCATCCGACACTAGCGGCCTAAGACTGTTCATTAGGGCCAAGCTTTTATGGTCACACCAGTCTGACCTCAGCTGGTATCTTATGTCTTCTTTCACTGCTTTGTTAGTCAAAGGCTGCCTCATCAGTATTACTCTATCGTCTTCTTTCTTGCCTCAATGGTGCTTCCTAGCAAATCATAAATCTGGAAGTCTGGGCATTTTGCCAAATCGCGCTCACCGTTGATGTTTCTCGGCCAGCCTGAGAGTCGAATAAAATTGTAGAAAACACAGCTTCCAGATTAAAAGTTTTCTCGCATTTTATAACAGTATAGCTTTCCATGATTTCGCCGAAAGCAGCGCCTCTAACCGTTACCTTTTTGGAAGCCAACCTGGTACTTCTCAGTCTGTAGCCGTATCCTGAACTGACGAAATCAAACATGTTAGCTAGTCTTGTCAATCTGTTCACTAGTGATTGCATGCAACAGTTTGATGTCACTGGAATTTCCTCTGGTCACCTATGCGTCGAACTTGCGCATCTCAACCTGATCAGTCATTGGACCGACATCGCCAGTGTCGGTAGGCAAAGAAAAGAAACTACCAACTGAGTCGACATTCATCGTCTCATCAGCGTCGAAAAATTTAATGCTGTCGGGCTTATCGTTCGCTGCTTCAGTATGAGCTTTCATTTCATCATGTTTTACTTCCAGCAATTCCAAATACAGGGCACTAACAAATTGCTCTTCTTCTTGCTGCTGGACACCAGAGTGTTCCGATTGCTCTGCCATTGGCGCGCTCTCAGGCAGTCTGATTTGCAGCCCAAACTTTTCTTCAATTCTTCCTCTTCTTTCTCAGCATGCTCCACTTAACGCTTTTCCTTGCTGTCGTCTTTGACAACAGCGATGTCAACCGTCTGCACAAACTCGTAGTTCTTCTCGCAACTTGGGGAAATTAGGAGGTTCTTTGCAAGTATAACCTCACTCCCTCGCGCGTCTGCAGGCAAAGCCGTAGCTCCACTCTGGTTCCTCAACTCTGTTATCATCCTTTCCTTCTCAAACCCTTCAGCTCCGCAGTAACACGAAATTCTTTCCATCTTTCCAGTGGTGACACAGTTGAATCTTAAGCAGTTGTAGTCAGTCAAGCAGCGTATCAAGCAACAGTTCGTTTAGTTTCGTTCGAAAAGCTAATTTTTGGATCAGCATTGCGAATCTGTTCTCCATGCTGTTACCATTGCATGGAAATCAATGGCTGGCTATTATATGAATGCAAGATCATCTTTAAATTATAGGATATTGGAGTTGTGCCAACCAAACGTTTTACATATGTTCTCCTAATCAATTAGGGTACATGCTTTGCTAACATATGTAGAACCCAACTTTGTTTAATGTAGCAGAGGGGGCAATGGTTCAGCAAGTAAATAATGGGCCTGAGACTCGGAATGTGAAATCACGCAAGGGAAGAAGAGTGCTGAAGAGAAAACAAGCTGAGTGGGCAGCATGAGTAGAAGGAAGGTGTCTTGAAACTGTTTCTGTTAAAAGAAGTGTTGATAAATAGAGAGTGACCTTGTAGTGAGGTATCTTGGAAAATTACTTTTCAGTCAGAACCTTAGGGTTTGCGGAAGGAGAATTATCTCTTCTGAGGATCTTTGCTCTGGGATTACATAAATATTCTGTAATAGTTCTCATTTCCATTAATTAAAGAATCTCTTATTTATCTTTAACTTGAGTTCCTATCAACCTACTAGTGGCTCCCAGTACATAATGCATCCATGCTTTGTGACAAGATGTTTGCATTAAGTCTTGCATCAAAAAGCATTTGCTGCAGCTCTGTATCCAAGCACTTTATGAAGACTTAAGCCGTCTGGTCATATTAAAATAGTCAAACTGTAGTTAGTTTGTTCACTGGATCCTGACTCCGAGCATCAGCCACAGGCTCTCAAAACAGAGTGCATCTTTGAATTGTGACAAGATGTTTTCAACACAAATTGCGTAAACCTTGCCTAGTTATGGTTCGGCATACTGCATAGTCTCTCCAAGGTCTTAGCATCATTATTCACCGCACTTTCCATGGAATAGGGAGGTGCACACCAGTTTATCTACACTGCGCAATCAACGAGTAACAACCGTGAACTGAACTACTTCGCACTTTTCAATGGTCTCTTCTCTTATCACACTTTCGCGAACACAAGGCTTGTAGACTTAGGTAGACATGATTTATCTAATGCACTCTCTCCAATAATAGTTTGAAGTACCCGTTTCCCAGTAAGTGGGGTTGGCTACATGGATCCAACTACACCATAATGCTCCATCAAAAACCATGTTTCTATCCATCCGGTTCATCTGAGAACCAAACATACCTCCGGTTCAATTAAGACTGAAAACTGCTCTATCAGCATACCGGGATACAAACCATTAAACCAGTAAAAAAAATTGAACAAAATCGGCAGTTCACGCAGTTCCTTGTTCTATTACTCATTTTAACCGATGTGGGACCTTGACAGTCTCTTTTTTCCACAGACAACTACCATAACAAAGAAATAGTATTACTTTGGTGCGCAAAAATAAGAAATGATTACACTAGTCTAAAATCTAACAGAATACTCGCTACCAATCATTCACTACGAGCCTATGAGTTGATTAATCTGGAATAATCTCAGGTAGCATGGCTTGCACCAGAAAAGATAAATAGGAAGCCTTGCTTAGCTGAATTCTATGGCACCAGAATTTCAGAATAGCAGCATCTATGAACCACCAACATGCAACTCCTTTTGTCTTTTTTGTTTTCCCTTGGCGGAGTAGAGGCTCTTGAGCTTCTCTGTGGGTGTTGCGTAGAGCTTCTATGTGAAATTGGTTTCCAGAAAAAAAACTACTATTTTATTTGTTTTTAGGCCCAAGTCAAAATATGCTAAAACTTTATAAGTTTTATCATCACAAAATATTCAAATTTCGGACAAAATTTTAATTTTTATGTTTTAGAATTGCAAACACTTTATTATTATTTTTTTAATATATCTTTTTCATAAACTTTGAAAATATTTTTAACTACTACCTGTCGTAGTTTGATCCGATCATCGGTGTAGGCACCGGTTTGGTGTCCAAACTGGTTCTGATTATCATGGTTTGAATGACGTTTTCTCGATGTTACATTTTTCCTCTAGGATCTTTGGGATGTTTTTGGATAGGCCATTTCTTTGAGTTACCTTCACGTTTAAGAATATTGGTCACATTATCTCTTACATTTATTTTTGCAGATATGGTTGCCATTGCCGAAAGAATGGCCACTGTGAAACATAAGATATTGGTCTTATCAGGAAAGGGAGGTGTTGGCAAGAGCACATTTTCTGCCCAGCTAGCATTTGCTTTAGCTGCAAGGGATTTTCAAGTTGGTCTTCTTGATATTGACATTTGTGGTCCAAGCATCCCAAAGATGCTTGGTCTAGAAGGTCAAGAGATACACCAGAGCAACCTTGGGTGGTCTCCTGTCTATGTGGAGTCTAATCTTGGGGTCATGTCAATTGGATTCATGCTTCCTCATCCAGATGAAGCTGTTATATGGAGAGGTCCTCGCAAAAATGGGCTTATCAAGCAGTTTTTAAAAGATGTTTATTGGGGTGAACTTGACTTTCTAATTGTAGATGCTCCACCTGGAACATCTGATGAACACATTTCTATTGTCCAATGCCTAGATCCCAATAATGTAGATGGTGCAATCATAGTTACCACTCCTCAACAAGTCTCTCTCATCGATGTGAAAAAAGAAGTGAATTTTTGCAAGAAAGTTGGAGTGAAAGTTCTTGGGGTTGTAGAGAATATGAGTGGCCTGTCCCAGCCTATCTCAAATCTCAAGTTTATGAAGATTACAGATAATGGTGAGATGAAAGATGTTACAGAGTGGATATCCGAATACATGAGAGAGAAAGCACCTGAAATGCTGAATCTAATTGCCTGTAGTGAAGTATTTGATAGCAGTGGTGGTGGAGCGTCGAAGATGTGCAAGGAGATGGAGGTACCCTTTCTTGGTAAGGTTCCTTTAGACCCGCAGCTTTGCAAGGCAGCTGAAGAAGGTAGATCATGTTTTGCAGATAAAAATTGCGTTGTGAGTGCTCCAGCGTTACAAAAGATAATAGATAAGCTAATGGAAACTAGTGGGTTGTCAATGACGGTAAGTAATGGAGTGTAGAAGATTTACTTCATGTTCATCTTTGTAAACTAAACCTTATTGACAGAATTCAATTTTCTGTAATATTAAGTTCTACTATGGTTTAAGGCAATTTGAAAGCAGATAGTATTCTAGACAGCCGTTTTACAATGTAGTTTACATTAATATTAATAGTAATATAAGTTCTTCAATTTGTTTTTTGCAATGTGGATTCTACTGTATCTGAAATGTTTAATCTGACTCTAGATTTTGCTATTATACTTTTATGTATCGAGTGTGTGAAAGAATATCTAATGTGTGAAAGAATATCTAATGTGTGAAACTAAAAGCTAGTTATAAGGACAAAAATGAACATGAGTTTTTGGGTGTAAAACAACCTTATCTTTTTTTCATATCTATTATAGCGATATACTTGTCACTAGCGGCTCTTAGGTGCTTATAATCCATTACGAATGCGTTTGAGTAAAAGATTTACATATTTAGTATATGGTAGTTGACATATAAAATGTTAAATTGGCTTTCCAAAAGAAAATTTAAAGGGGTATTTTGTCTTTATAGAGAAAACAAAAGTGAAAAGAATATAGTGATGAACTTTTTTCTTTTTTTTTTTAGTAATAACTATGTTTTGAAAATAAATAAATAAATAATTATATTTTAGAAAAAAATTCCGCAAATAATCATGTTTTAGAAAACGTTATAATGTAGTAGCTATCTCAGATGGCGAATGTATTGATTTTTTTAAATGAGGCGTCAAGTGAGATGACACCTAGGTGCATGTCGTTTGTCATAAGCCATCTCAGATGGCGCCTAGGTACAGCGTACATCTCTTTAAAATTTTTTGTTAAAGAAATAAAAGGCAATGTCGTTGCGAATGAAAGTTGATTTTCAATAATAGTTAAACGATTACATAATGAGAATAAAAATTACACATTATTTAGTTGTCTCCAGGGACTCGATAACGATCCGTGGTTCCGCACCGGCGTCCTCGCCTAACTCGGTGCGTTTCAGCGTATTTCCTGTTGCGGTTGGGTCGAGGGTCCCGCGAAGTAAATGCATCCAGGATCCATGAAAGCCGTCAGATCATCATATCTGGAAGATCCGCTTTTAAACAGTCGGTTATCCATGCCCTCAAAGTTTGATTGTATTGGTTGGGGGTGAGGTTCCATGGGGGGTTGATAGCACCAGTCGTCTGAATAAAGAGGATAAAAAGGAAATGAATCTTGTGGAATTTGGTACTATGATTGTTAGGTTTTATGGTGATAGGATGGTTGATGGTAAGTTGGATTGGTTGGTGAGTATTCTTCAGGTAGGTCAATGTCTAAGCTAAGGTGAGATGAAGAGGGGTCCATATCAGGATGTTAGATGTATGGTCGTTGTTCTTGATACTGTGATTGTGTGTGGGGCATGTGTGTGTATTTGTATTGGTGGCATCATGGGTGGCAACATAGACGCATGTGTAGGTGGCAGGCGTAGTGTAGGTGGCATACATGCATGCTACGTGACATGCCTATAAGGGATGCGCCATCTGTTGGCTGAAGATTTTGATGATATTGTTCGAAGCGAAGCAAGTTGGATGTTTCGATTGGAATAAAGCAAGATGTCATGTTTCGAAATGTTAGAAGCAGTGCTTCGAATGGGCATGTCAAAACTCTGAGTTTCGAGTGACAGTTATGGGGATATATTTAAAGAAGTCTCGAAATGGTAACAAGGCTGTGTCCAAGAAATGAGTTCGAAACAAAGAGTGCCAAAACATTTGAAATTCAAACGCAAACGGGATGTTCGAAATTTAAAATATATGCGCTGGAGCATTCGAAGACGCGTGGAAGCTAGAGGAGGGCATTGCTTTGCATGTTCTGAACGTGGCAGAATCTTATAGCAAGGCCGTTATGGTCGAAGTAGTATAAATAGAAGTCTTAGCATTAGGATTTCGTGTGTCATATCTATTGTACAAAAATTCAGTAAACATTCAAAATACCACATGGCTAGGGAAACGAATGCTCGAACAATGTACGTATGATAACACCAAATGTTTATGATTTAATAAAACTCTTTATCATTTCCAGTTTTTTCATCTATCTTCATGTCAATATCATTCAAAAGCCTTTACATTAAAGTATTTTCATTCGAAGTCTTTTACTGATGCCTTGCATTTAAATGTTTTCTTTCCATTTCAAATCCTTTACTTTCAGAAACTTTTGTACATTTCATGCCTTTATCCTCATGCTTTTATCATTCGAACACCTTTTTCATTTAAAGTCATTTTATTGATTCCTTGCATTTAAACGCTTTCTTTATATTTTGAGTCTTTTACATTCCAGAGAATCTTTAGCATTACATGCTTTTATACTTCGAAGTTATTTACTTGTCTTTTGCAGTTTTACATGTCTTTACAATTAAACCTTTATTCATGCAATTTAGTTCGCACGTATTTACTTGATCATGCCATTAGATCTTTAATAGATTAATCGAAATAAGTTGAACACCTACACAACATTCTAAATACCAACCATGAATATCAGTTCTATAATGAGAATTATCCAAATGACCAATACATCCTAGGATCAATCTAGTCGATCCTGCAAGTTACCAGAGAGATTAAATAACAGTCATTAAGATTATTTGATAGTTTGGAGGACTAGCGGTTGTTTACCAGAAATAACTGTAAACAAATTGGCACACCCGGTGGGACGCGTCATTGGTCATTACGAAATTTAGAACAAAGTAAAAAATTGTTGAGACATAACCATTGTAAAAATACTCTCTGAGTGATAAGTTTGTTGTTATATGAACCTTAGAAGTGGTAGAATAACCAATAGCAACCAACCCTTATCCAGAAGAAAACGTTTAAACAAGATGTCTAATCCAGACAATCAACAAGGGGAACAAAATATCCCACATACAACAGGCACTAACATGTCCGCTTCGATGGGAACATCTAATGCGATCCCTTCGAACGCACAGTCTGTTGCATTTTCTACCAGTAGTGTAGCCACTAATGGAACAAGTGGCATATCAACTAACAGTTCGATCCTAGGAAATACTGGAACCATTGGTTATCCTGGGGGATTCGTCCCACCACCAGGGACACAAACCCATTTCGCCACCCCACTAACTAGACCACCCGGTTTCGATGGTAACAGAACCAGAAATTCCTCTTATGGAATGCCAACATCTTTTATGGCAGGCTTACACAATTCCACATCGAATTCATCACCACAATTAGGGTCTGGGTCTGGGGCAAATCAATTTATGACAAATAACCAAGGGTCAGTGGGTTATAGTGCAATGCCTATCTTAACCACAGAAAATCAGTTGGCCTTTAGGCAATTAATGAATGACAGTAACCATAATATGATAGGAGTATTAGCATAAACTATGCAGGAGATCTTTGCCCCAATAGTACAAAATGTAACTGTGACAAACAGAGAAAACGCAAATAACATGAGTCGAATAGCAGATTTTTTCGCTCCCCCAGAAAGGCGTAGGCAGAATCAGGCGGGAGTTCGAGAAAACGTACCTATTATAGAACAAGTTGCTAACGACCCACCCTATAGACCAGCCAGAGAGGAGGTTAATCTGGGGGCAAGGGCTCAAAGGTTAGAAGCCCCAATGATTCAAGGCCCACAAAGGGAAATTATGGAACCAGGGGTAAGGGTCGAAAGGCTAGAAGTCCCAGAGTTTCGAGAAGAACAACCTAGAGGGGTTGTCATGGTGGGTCGAAATCAAGATGCTGATGCAGTCGTTCATAGAATTCGAAACGATAACATCTTGGCAGAAAATAATTTAACCACCATGATAGAGAGAATCATGGCCCAGAATGGCCTCAACACAGGAATTAGAAGGCCAAATTATGCCTCCCCTATATTAGATTACATAATGCACACTGATTTACCAAGGGGATATAAAGTCCCTAAGTTTACAAAGTTTGCTGGGGATACCAATGAATCAACAGTCGAACATATAGCCAGGTATCTAACCGAAGCAGGAGATATAGCCAATAATGAAGACCTTAGGATCAAATATTTCCCAAGTTCCCTGACTAAGAACGCTTTCACATGGTTCACCACTTTACCTCCTGGGTCCATAGATACTTGGGCGCTGTTGGAGAGATTATTCCATGAACAGTTCTACATGGGACAATCTAAAATAAGTCTGAAGGAACTAGCCAGTGTCAAAAGGAAGTTTACTGAACCCATAGATGATTATCTGAATAGATTCAGGCTCTTGAAATCTAGATGTTTTACAGTAGTTCCTGAACATGAGTTAATCGAAATGGCTGCTGGCGGCCTGGATTACTCTATTCGAAAGAAATTAGACACTCAATACTTGAGGGATATGGCTCAATTAGCCGATAGGGTTCGACAGATCGAAAGGCTAAAAGCCGAAAAGGCCAGAGTTTTTAAAAATAACAAGAAGGAAAGGGTCTCTTATGTTGGAACTGAGGAAGCAAAAGATTATCCTGAATTCGAATTCGAAGAGGTCGAAATCGACCTCGCTGAATTAAAACAGGCACCACCTTACTCCTGCAAATTATTAGTTCCCACAAAAGGGAAAGAAATTGTTGAAAATGAGAAAAGTGACAAATTTCCAAAGAAGGTTTATACCTTCGATGTAACTAAGTGTGACGAGATTTTCGATTTACTTGTCAAAGATGGCCAACTCATTGTGCCATCAAATGTCAAAATACCTCCTTTAGATCAAAGGAAGAAAAGAGGATTTTGCAAGTATCATAGTTTACTAGGCCACAAAACCTCACAATGTTTTCTTTTCAGGGACCTAATTCAGAATGCAATTAAAGACGGCAGACTGAAATTCGCTGATAAAGCAAAAATGAAAGTGGACGAAGATCCTTTGGATGTCGCAGACACCAATTACTCCGAGCCTGCATGCATTGGAGAAATTAACGTGGTGGAAGCTGATCAAAGTGAAGCTCCAGGAGGAGAGAAAGGTGCTGAAAATGAAAGCTGGGTGTTAGTCGAAGTCAACAAGGGGGTCACTGAAGACGTCCACAAGCAACCAGA